TCTGATATATTAGCCCACAGCACCACATCCACACTCCCATAGCAGGACTTCAATCAGGAGACTGTCAACATTTAAAGCATTTCCTCCTTTGTTTTGCTTAGTTACTGTTACTTATTAATCTGGTGTGACGCTGTAGGGTAAGCACTGGACTGCTAACTGACAGGTTGGTGGTTCAAACCCACGAGGCAACTTATTAGAAACCCTACACAGGGTCCCTATGAGTCAGAACCGACTTGACAGCACCAAACCTATTGGAACCGTTTCCCCATCCTACCACTAGGGGGCTCTGTGATCCTGTAGGGTCCGCGCTGGACTGTGAACCACAAGGTTGGCGGTTCTAGCTCACCAGCCTCTCCATGGGAGAAAGATGACGCTTTCAGTTCCTGCAAAGACTTGCAGCCTCAGAATCCTATAAAGGGTCCCTGTGACTCAGAAGTGACTCGATGGCACTTAACCACCAAAAAACCTAAGGGGGAAGGAGAACTTGGTCTTACCCAGACTTTTTTCCTATGACCAAGCACCTGTAAATCATTTGGAGGGTCTTCAATCTCCATATCAGTGCAAGGAGGGAGAAGAAGGCAAAGTAGAAAGAAAGGAAGGGAAGAATTAACAAAAGGACAAGGAGAAACAGACCTAACACGCTGAAGTCATTTCTGAGGTGTCTTTTAGCAGTGGTTTTGTTCTCAGCGATTTGGGGTGTCATTTGGGCCTTCCAATAGGCCCCTGAGTCATATGACCCCGTGTGTGACAGGTTCTGACTGTTGTGATCCACTGGGTTTTCATTGACTGTTTTGTTGGCGGTAGATCTCCAGACCTTTCTTCCTAGTGTGTCTTAGGAAGCTGTACTGAAACCCAGTCAACATCATAGCAACAAGAAAGTTTCCACCGACACTAATGGATGGGTGATGGGTGCCCCTCCCCTATGTTGTTGTTGTTAAGTACCATTGAGTCGGTTCTGACTCATAGCAACCCTGTATAGGGTTTCTGAGGAGCGGGTGGTGAGCTTGAACCGCCAACCTTGAAGTTCTAGCATATTAAACCGCAGCACCACACCTGCACTCATATACGGAAGGCAAGAATTCTACCACTGTGCCCTCACTGACTTAGAATCCGTTACCCTCTTGACAATAACATGCAGTCAAGCTGGGTGGAACGGCTCTGGGATAGATTTTAAAGCGGTGAGCATAGATACACTCAGTATTAAACTGCTTCCTTTCCCACTATTCCTGTAAATGCATAAACAGCAGCAAAGATCAGAAAAACAGAAAAAGTCCCCAACAGCCCTTTCACGCTCAGTCAATCAAGCCACATTCAATCTGTGGGCCTCTCCTTCCCTGAATTACATGTCATTTACCAAGCTTCATTTTAATTCCTCGTCTTGTATTAAGAGAAATGATTTATATCGACCAGCAATATAATCCAGGCATTTAGAGGTCTTCGATATACTTAGATGAAGATATGTCTTGAGGTCCATATTTGTAAATCCTATTTCTGAGAAACAGTAATAAGTAAAGCCGAAGATTGAAATTGAATTTTTGTAAGAGGACTTTAGCAGGAAAACCATTATATGTCAGTCTAATTTAGTGGAAAGAATGCACATTTAAACTGGGGAAAAGCCAGTGTATCGTCTCCTGGGCAGCAGGGATGGGTGATAAATGCAAGGACCACCCCTAGCAGCCCCTGTCTTTCAGCAGAGTGGAGTCAGCTCCTGGAAGGTGGGGGACCAGGTTGTCCCCAAAGGATTATTAGGATAGAAACAATACCATACAATACTCACTCATGTAGGTGTTTCTTCAAGGCTTGTTTTCAATTTTATTTTAATAGCTTTATTGTTTTTAGGAATTAGAAGTCTGTTTTGACTGACAGCGCCCCCAGGTGGTGGTGGTAGAACTGCGCCATAGAGTTTCCTAGGCTGGCATATTTTATAAAAGCAGATTGTGAGGTCTTTCTCCCATGGAGTGGCTAGAGGGTTCAAATTATGGACTTTGAAGTTAACCGCTGTGTACTTCATAATATCTGCATTCACAGGGCTCCTTGTGTTTTTAGCAGTTGTTTTTGTTGTTGTTAAGTGCCCTCAAGTTGTTCCAACTCATAGCGACCCTATCTAGGGGTTCCAAGGCTTTTAATCTTTGCGGGAGCAGAAAGCCTCATCCTCCTCCCAAGGAGCAGCTGGTGGGGTCTACCGGTCAGCTGACCTTGCAGTTCACAGTCCAATGCTTGTCTTATAGAACCACCACGCTCCCTTAACACTTTTGTTTAGAAGTAATTCCCTTACTGTGTCATGTTCTCTGTGAAAGTGTGCTGTTCATGGTTTTTGGTATATTCACAGGTAAGTGCTACGTCCACTCTAGAACATTCTATCACTTTGTAAAAACCCCCGTATTCTAGGTCTCAGTCCTCTACATTCACACCTGCTCTCAACCCTTGTTGTTAAGTGCCATGGAGTGGGTTCTGACTCATAGCGGCCCTATAGAGGATTTACGAGGAGCACCTGGTGAGTTTGAGCTTGTGGTTCAAACTGACCACTGTGAGGTCGAGCGCTTTTCCTATGGCAGCACATAGGAACTGCACCCGCCGCCCTTAGCAGCCTCTAAGTCTACTCTTGTCTCTGTCAGTTTGCCTCAAATAGACATCTGTATGAATTTTGTTTGTTTTCAAGTCGGTATCCACTGATTCTGACTCCTAGTTTCCCTGAACACGTCAGAGGAGAAGTGTGTTTCCTAAAAGAGTTTTCAAGGGCTGGTTGTTACCAGGCCTTTAGGCTGAGGTGATTTTGGGTGGACTCAAAAATCCTATGTTTCTTTGGCTTAGCAGCTGAGCAGGTTAACCATTTGGACCCCCAGAGGCTCCTTCATGTGATGGATGACCCTTTGTGTCTGCTGTATTGCACTTAGCATCATGGGGTCATGGTTCAAAGTGTTGTAGCACACATTAGTACATCATAATCGGTGTTGTGGAATCAGGTTTTACCACCAGACAAAGGACTAAGATGTACTTGTGTTTGCGTTACTAAGTGGGTTGTGGCATTCATTTCTGTGTTGAAAGTTCCATAATTGTTAAGTGCCGTCGAGTTGGTCCTGATCCATAGCGACCCTGTCTGTATAGGGTTTCTGAGGAGTGACTAGTGAGCCAACTTACATCTCAAACCCACTTTACAGTCCTGTGCTTTAACCCACAATGCCATACCAGGACTTCCATATAAGTGTATTTAAATGGCTTTCAGGGAGCATGCTGGCTGCTTACATAGGCACTAAACTGGGAACCACAAGATCAGTGGTTCAAGCCCACCAGTTGCTTTGAGGGAGAAAGATGAGGCTTTCTGCTCTTGTAAGGATGTACAGCTTCTGAAAGCGACTCTAACCATACTTAACAAACATCACCACCAACTGCTGGGTACCACAGTGATTTCTGTCTGGAAGACTGTCTTGTCTGGAAAGGAAGGCATCCAGGTTTGGTGGGGTCTGATTCTTCTACAATTTGAGGGACCCTTTTTAGAAATGTAGGGTTAGATGATTAGACACAAGGTGAAACCTTGGAAGGAGCTCTTGCGTATATGGCCCCCTGGAGTTTAAGCTTCATGTTGTTGTTGTTAAGTGTTGTCGAGTCGATTCTGACCCATAGTGACCCTTTATAGGGTTTCTAAGAAGCAGCTGGTGAGCTTGAACCACTGACCTTGCAGTTCAGACGACTTTGCAGTCTGACGCATTAGCCCACAACACTACAACAGGACTCTGTAAGCTTCAGGTAAATCCACTTAACTCCAGGTGATTGTTTTAGGGGTAGTGGTGGTTCTGTGGTATCATTCCTGCCCTCAATGCAGGAGACCTGGGTTCAATACCCAACCAATGCACCGCCTGTCCACAGAGGCTTTCTCTTGCTAGCATGCGGAATAGACTTTTTGCAGAACTTCTACACTAAGAGTAGTAAGAAAGTCCTGGTAACCAACTTCTGCAAGTCAGCCCTCTAAAATTCTTAGGACTCACAAAGGTCTGATCTGCAGCTGAGCTTGGGGTTGGTGCTGGACCGGGCAGTGTTTTGTTCCATGAGCATGGGGTGACCATGAGTTGGGGGTCAGCTACATTGCAGCCAACATCAGCAACAACAGCAGCAGAGGTCAAAGCCAGATTGCAGTGCAAAGAGGACCCAGCTCCAGGGCTGAGGATGCCTATGGGGTCCAGGGTCTGGGCTGCATTGGCCTCCCACGCCCTCTGTGTGTTGACTTTTGAGCCTGGTGTTTTGACTTCGGTCAGCCTGAACGTCTCCAGAACGGTTTGCTTCTTCAGCATTCTGTCGCATGCAAGGTGTGTTGCTGGTAGCTAAGTGAGGAAGGACGGGACTCCAAATCTTGCCTTGAGTCTCTGGAGGTGGCTGTGGTGTCAGCCTTGGCTAGTAGGTAGGGGTACTGGGGATGTCCTCCCGGCCTAGGAAGCACCCGAACTGGCAGCACAAAGTATATAGCCAATGCCGGGTCCTGGCCTGGCTAAGTCACTCCAAGTTTGCTGGACCACTCACCACAAGGTTGGCGGTCCAAGTCCACCGGAAGTAAAACCTGGCAATCTGCTCTGGAAGGTCACAGCTTTGAAACATCTATGGAGCACATATGGGGTGGTCATGATTCACAATGGACTTGATGACAACCAGTGGTCTCCATCAGGGAAGGCTAGACCCTGCTGCCGTAACAAACCCATCTCAGTGGCTTGTTAAGTACTGTCGAGTCGGTTCTGACCCATAGTGACCTTGTACAGCGTTTCCAAGGCTGTTAATCGTTACAGGAGCAGAAAGCCTCATCTTTCTCTCACGGAGCAGCTGGTAGTTTTGAACTGCTGACCTTGCGGTTCGCAGCCCAATTCGTAACCACTACGCTACCAGAGCTCCTAATGTTACAATGTGTCTCTGACTCATGCTTTGTCTGCTGAATGCTTCACTGATTCAGGGTCTGGGGAAGGGATGGGATCTCTGGACGTTTCTCCCTCAGGCTGACCAAACCTTTGTGTCCCCAGGTGTGGCTGTGTGGGGGCAGCATGGAGGTTCTGCCCTGCTCACGGGTGGCCCACATCGAGCGGAAGAAGAAACCCTACAACAGCAACATCGGCTTCTACACCAAGAGGAATGCCCTGCGGGTGGCAGAGGTCTGGATGGACGATTACAAGTCACACGTGTACATAGCGTGGAACCTGCCCCTGGAGGTATGGCCAGCTTGCTTCTTCCCGCTCCCTCCAGGACTGCTTCTTGATGTTTAGGGGCCATTCCCAGGATGGTCAAACTCCAGAAACAGAGCCAGTGATATGCATATGAGGGGGCTTCCAAAACTTTTGGGGGAAAATCCATTATCCTGCCATCCTACATTTCCATAAACTTTTTGAAGCTCCCTTGTATATATGCGTGTGTGTGTATATGTATGTATGTG